GTGTGTGTGTGTGTGTGTGTGTGTGTGTGTGTGTGTGTGCGTGTTTTTGCTACCTGGTTGATTTTTGGCCATTTTCCTGGTATTCACAGCCTGGTGAGGACCCACTGCTCCTAAAAGTGACAAAAGCCCAGTCCCCATTGGGGGAAATACCATYGGTGAKTCAGGGGTTAGGTTTATGTGTGACTTGAGTTTAATTTGGGTTTAGGGTCAGGTGTGAGGTTAGGTTTAGGGTAAAGGATCAGGGTTCAGCAGTAGAAATGACCAATCAGTGAATGGAAGTCAATGCAAAGTCCCCATGAGGATCGAAGACCAAACGTGTGTGTATGTGTGTGTGTGTGTGTGTACATGTTTTTGCTAACTCGTGGGGAAGATTTTTGGCCATTTTCCTGAAACAGACAGCTGTGTGGGAACCCACTGCTAATGGGGACGAAAGCCTGGTCCCCATTGGCAGAAATACCATTTGTGGGTCAGGGGTTAGGTTTAGGATGAAGGTGTGAATTGAATTTAGATTATGAATACATCATACAAAACATCATGTTGTATCATGAATACAACATACAGAACCCTATAACAGTACTGATAATTAAACAATATCAAAAACAAAAATAACACATTATTATTTTGACATCTCGGACTTGCCAAATTTTTAAGCCAATTTTATTTTCACTTTCATAGTTCTATCTTCAACTGCTTGATGTTTTAACTGTCTTGGATGTTCATAGAAATGTTTTTACCAGCTTGAAGCCAAGATTCTGATGTTTCTGTAGGTACCAAACATGTCTATGTTTAACTAAAAGAACTTAATGTTATAAAGTAGAACAGTGATTCTCAACCAGGGTACATGTACCCCTAGTGGTAAGTGAGCATATTACAGGGGGTACATGGAAAAATTTCCCATTTCTGTAAAACAAAAACTAAAAAAAATAGGACAGGGATATGTCAGTCTCTATGATTTCCACAATGTGGAAAATGCAGACTGAATCACAGAATTGACAAAACAAAATGGAATCCAGTACAAAACGCACAATCTCACGGAATTTGCGCATTTGTGTGAGTTTCTGATGTATTTTGGAAACTGTTGCTTCCTGTACCTGCAATAACCTGGTTTATTTATTTAATTACTTATTCACGTTTTAGGCAAAATATTTATCTTTGTTTGAGTTGAGGGGGTTAAATAAATAGTTTCATCATTACGTTTGACTGAGGGTGTACTCGTGGTATGGAAAAATGGCTCAGTGGGTACACAAGTCTGAAAAGGTTGGGGATGTAAGAGATGAGTGAACCAAWTGGCGGGCAGAACTTTGGTCGGGCCTCCAGTTGAATAGCTCTGGTTTAGAGGTATGGTGTGGACTAAGTTTTGGTTAAGGTTAGAGTTAAGGATAGACTAGTAATGGTTAATTTCAGAGAATATGTCTGGGTTAGACATAAATACAGTTACAAAAATACAAAGTCCTCAGTTTGATGTGTGTGTGTACAACACACAATATATTTTGACAGATTGTGGGACCAACAAGATTGTGTTTTTGTTGATCTGTAAAACCATTTTTTTTACATTTGGCAGCCATTTATATCTTATGTAGAAAAAATTTTGGCAGATAATTTTATGTAAAGGTTAAATATTGTTTCATTATACACAAACCTGTTCATTGTATCACCCGTATGAATACAAGATTGATTTTGGTTGTTTCAGTGGATCCGGTGTAGGAGGGGAGGGATGGGAGGGATTTTGGGTGTGTGTGTTTTGTTTTGTGTTTTTGTAAGTCAGTTCTTTTTTGTGGTTTGTTAAAAAAAATTAATAAAAAGACCTTGATCAAAAAGATTGTGCTTTTGTTAACATTATTGTTTTTTTATAGTGTACAACATTTTACAAYGAAAAATTTTGAATCATATTGTTACTGTTCTAATTAAATAGACGTATTTATTCTACCTCGTGTAAAAATCCACAAAGATGAGAGTGAGGTACAGCTTGCCGTATACGACAAAAAAACTGGGAAACTCCCCTTAAATTTGTGACTGTCAGACCAGCAGCTTTGGATTGACAGCTGAGAYAGAAACATGTTAGAATAATCTGTCCACTTTAACACATCTGGTGTGAAATATTCAGCCTACAGGGAAAGGTGATGTTCTGCATATTGAACATATTCTGTCTTCTGTTCCACTCTCTAAATTCACACTTATTTCTTGTGTTTGTCCCACTGCAGATTCTGGACGTGCGTAATGTGATGGTGGTCGTGTCTCGGTGGTACGGAGGTATTTTGTTGGGTCCTGATCGTTTTAAACACATTAACAACTGTGCCAGAAACATCCTGGTGGAGGAGGGGTACACTGCCTCCATGGTGAGACACTTCATGCTCTTTTTCTACARCCACTCCAGTCTGTATCAGATCTGGTGACAGTTCTTGTTTTTGATGCAAATCAGGCTTTATTTCAATTATAGTAGAATTATATATTTTTTAAGTGTTGCCGTTTAGTGGCACATTGTATTGTCAGACAGCACTTTGAAAAGTTTGGTGAAATTTCGCAGGAATAAGAATGTAACCAGTGTCACGTTTCAGATGTTGGTGTCGTGTCAGATTTCCAGCGGTTTTTAAATCTGTCATGCCTGAAAATAACTCTGTATCTCTTTAATGTTAGTCATTTTTTAAAGGTATTTCATGGATGATGTGATTAATTGTTGACTGGCATCCAAACCAACTCTAAAACCTCTTCAGCTCATTGTTGAAAAGGGTTCTCTACTTCAGTCCTGTGCACTCACTGCCTCTGGAGAGAGAACTTTAGACCTGTGCAGAATAACCTGTTTTCAGGTCAAAAGACTGCTCTATAATTTAATACAAGATAATGCTTTTACACCATACAAACCCTAATTGTAGCTGTCTCTACAGCAGAGGCCTGTCTGTGYCTACAGAGGTCAAAGAGCAGTTCAATTATCCAGATTCATATCTTCAAAAGAGAGAGTAGAGAGAAGCAAAGAGCATTAAGGACACTTTATGTTCCCTTAGCAATAAGGGACTGAGTGAGGCACAGATTAAATCGTTCTTTTGTGAGCAGATGAATATTGCAGAACATAGCTGAGCTACAGTGAAACAGACAGTGAATAATAACAACCCTTTCACACATTTTGATTTATAATTTTGTCCTGGTTCTGCGTTTTCCACTCTCTGCCTGCACGCAGTGAAAAGAATGTTTGTCTGACCTCCAGGTTAGTCAAGAACATCGCTCCGCAGCAACTGTTCTGACAAGACTAAATGATTTTTACAGGGTCATAAACAATTATTCAATTATAATAATCTGAAACAGACAGTTACCTGTACAGTGCAGTAAAGAAACACTCTGGTCTTTTTTGATCAGCCGAACAGTTATCAGTTATTAGCAGTGGTGGGCACCAGCCTACTAAAGCGCAAATCCGCTAATTGTGGACCTAAATATTTTGTTTGCTCTTTAGTGGTCTTTTTAATTTTTATATTTCATAAGCAGATTTGTGCTTTCTAAAATTAAAATGCAGTACCACTAATAACTAATTATCTACCAGA